AAGGTAGAATTTCAGAAGCGTTACTGATGTTTTATGTTGTGGTTAGTTGTGGGTAAGTTTCTGAGTCTTCTCTAAGAAGGAAATTTGAAAAGTAGAATTTCATGACCCAAATCATGAAGGCACTGTGTTACTAAGAATTGTGTCATTAAGGGGGAAGAAAGAACAGACCAAAGTGAAGAGACTAAGAAAGCTTGAAATTTGTTCCATTCATGGGTTTACATAGCTATCACTTACTGTGCCAAATACTTGTTAGTGAGATTCCAAGTATAAAATTAACAACATAAGAAATACCACAAATGAGTTAAGTTACTAGTCTTTCCATCTCAAGGTTTGGTTTCTGAGGGTGATACCCATGACATTTTGTGGAAGACCACTAAAGATTTCTATCAAGATTTTTATTTCAAAAGATTAGGGAAAGAAGCTCATTCTGTTTGTTTTCAACTGATTAGAAGACTGACTGCCCATTATTTAATATAATTTAATATAATTGGTTCTAAAATTATTTGTTCCAAAACTACCTACTTTAGGAGGTACATGTATTTTCTGGAATGCAACAAACATAATTTGAGTCTTTAATTGTCTCGTGAACATTTATTTATTCAGACTGAAGACTTTTGCTCCATGTAAAGCGTTCCCTAGCCTTACCTGATATCTTTTCTTCCCTTCATACTTGTTAATATTCTTGCCTATCTTGTACTTTGGGAAAGGGTAATTTTCTGGAGAGTTGGGTGTTTAGACGACTCAGTTTGGAGTCATATGGACCCAAGTTCATATTCCAGTTGCCACTTATTGCCTGTGTGACTGTAAAATTGGCTTAGCTTCATAGAGCCTCAGTTGTCTCATCTTCAAGGTGGAGGTAAGAACATCTATCTCTCAGGATTGTTGCAAAAAGAACTGATACATGAAAAAGCACAGTGCTGAGCTTGAGATGAGTGCTAAGTAAATCAAAGTTCTGATTTCTTTTCAGTAACTACAGTATTGGTAAACGTAGCATTACATCAGGAATAACTCTAATCAGACCAGATTTGGGGATTTCAGTAACAATTTCAATAAGAAATTGGATTCTTTTTTTCTCACTTGTAGTCTGAGAGCTTAGATTAGGTCAGCTGTTTTCAAACTGTGCTCTATGGAGGTGCTTTGAGGTCACCACCAGGAAAGGGGAGCAGACAGAGCTACCTCAGAGGGAGGGTTTCCTGTTCCAGCAGAGCAGCTGTGCTTTTATTTATTTAATTTATTGGGCTTCTTTGTAAATCTTATGTAAAGGAAGTATTCCTTGGCAAAACACACACACACACTCTCACTCACTCACACACACACTCTTTGAAAGTAGTAGACTTAAAAGCCCTCACAGAACCCTTCCATCTCTAAATTTCTTTGTCTGTTAGTCTGCAGAAGAACTTGAAAGCCAGTAGCCCACACTGTATATCTGACCTGAAGACAGGTTTTGTTTGTCCTGAACAATATTTTAAATGTTTACATTTAAGTGTTAAAATTTTAAATTTGGGAGATTTTACATAGAAATCCAGATTCTATTATGTTATGAAAAGTTGATATAGCTGACAATGCCTTGCCCGTATTTCCATATAATAGTCTGCTAAAGTTGCATAGCAGCTGCTACCCAATTGCTCCCTGTTATCTCATAGTCCTTTGAATTTACCTCTCTAGCCTCTGAAGGTATTCGAATCTTCAGTATCTGATATGTCATCTGCAGATTGCATGAACACTCATGAACACTGACATTGAATAAATCAGTGCTGGTACTCTGGAAGAACTAAACACAGGATGTGACTTGCCATGTTAAAATAGGAAAAGTACATTTGCTATTTTCATTTTCCCTGCCCTTGAACTGGACAATAATAGTTCTTAAGTGCAGACCATCCATTTATCACCGCTGTTGCAGAATGACTTCTGAGTTAGAAGAATTAAACACAGTGTGTTTTAATTCTTTCTACCACCAGCTCTAATTACCAGACACTCAAAAAGTTGAGGAGCTAGGTTTTTTGGGGATGGTAAACAAAGAAGTACATAAATGCTTTCCAGTTGCCCACACCCCTCTTCCTCCCACCTCAGTCCCAGAGGAGGAGTCAACACGTCTGGGTATTGTTCTCCAGGATAGAAAAAACTGCGGGAAAGTACTCTGCTGTTTGCTTTCCAGCAAGTTCCTATTAGGTGTCAAAGGGTCAGGTCTCAGAGCATCATTCAAATAAAGGAGACAAAGTATACAAGCCTTGTTCAGTCACCCCAGGACAAGGTAAACTCTTCACTGATCCAAAGTCCTCCAAACCTGTTGTCCTCTAATTGCTGGGTGTGGGTTCTGTATGTGCTCTTTAAATCAGACTTCTTAATTGTAGTGTTGGAATCAAATCTCATATTTACTTATTAATTTTTTATCTTTCACCTTTCATTTACTAAGAAAGAGGTATTGAAATTTCTCATGATCATGGAATGGTCCATTTCCCCTTGTAGTTTTGTTGTGCAATTTACTAATTGACTATATGCACTGCTCAGCAATGTATTTTTAAAGTAAACTTGTTGCAGTTTCTTTAGAATGAATGTTTGGTGGCAGGAGATATTTACTTGGTTACCTTGTGCTAAAAGCAGAAGTTCTCATTCCTTTCACTCTTCCTAATTTTCTCAAAGCTTATAGTTCACTGATGAGATTTCTTTTCCTGTTTCTTAAACAGGTTTTTTAATCTTTCAACCTTCACTCTCAGTGGCATTTAGAGAGGAGGGAAATGTTAATATATAAGTTTAGTGCATTCCTCTTTTATCAGAATTTTCATCTTCTCTTACTCTACATATTCTTGTTAGATAATTCCGTTGAATTCTTTCAATCATTTTTATAATGATGACTATAAAATCTATATTCTTAACCTAATGTCTCTTACCTATATAACTCTAGTTGTTTAACTGCCTATTAGTAGATATCCACACTCAAATACCCCAGCGGCACCTTAGACTGTCCCTCAACAACACAATGGATAAACAAATTATGGTATATACAACGAAATACTACTCAACAATGTAAAAGAATGAGCTGTCGAAACATGAAATAATGTGCCATTTGAGATCTGCAGATACCTAGAAGTTGCCCACTTTTCCTGTCGTGCCAGCCATTCACATCTGTCCATGTGCCTATGTTCTTGTGATACTGGTCAGTGTTTTTATAGGCAAACTTCCTCTTTGCCTTTCAAAGCTTCTTTGGGGCAAATTGCTTGATATTCAGCTCTGCAGAATTCCTTCACCTTCTCTAAAGAGTTTCTGGCACAGAAACTGTCAACCTTAGGGGGATAGAGCAGGAAAAGGAAGGTGAGGGCCTCCTGTCTACCTTAGCAGACTGTTACTCACCGACTATCTTTCACTCTGTGCTGTATCTCTCCCTGCTCTGTGCTTGATCCCCAAGTGCCCAGCATCTCTATCTCTGTTTCTCTTGGAAACAAACTGGTAAAATGTACTGGGCATCTGGCTCCCTGCCGTAAATGTGGGGAGAGGGGCAGTGACAGAGAAAGGAATGGATTAGTAAAAATTCCTCCACTTTTAGTGCTACTTGACACTCAAAGAACTGAGATTGAGATCTTCAGAGGCAGATCAGCTCTTCTCATCTACTCCTACTTTGTAATCCACCCCCATATTCCGTTAAGTCATTTATCATTCCTCTAATAGTTTTCTGTCTTTCACAATCTGAGACATTATTTTTTGTTATTTTGCTTTGTTTTTGTTTATTAAAAATATTAAGTAAACTGGCATCATCTCTCTGTTCATTTACTAATTGAGTTATTACTTTTTTCTCTCTTTTTTGTCTTTTCAATGAGGAAGCAAGGAGGAGAAAAGGAGATAAACATATGAGGTTAATCTTTAATTGAACCTACCCTTGCTCTCTAAAATATAATCATCACAGTGACTACATTTGAATACTTACTATATGCCAGATACTGGTATAAGTGCTTTACATTTATTAGCTTAGTATTCGTGGTGATCTTATGAGGCTGGTATAATTATTGTCATCATTTTACAGATCAAGACACTAAAGCACAGAGAAGTTAATTAACTTACCAAAGCTATATAGTCAACGTGTGTGCAGCTAGGATTCAAAAATCAACTGTTCGATTCTAGAGTCAGTTCCTGCTTAACACTCTCCAATAGTATCCCTTTCTTTAATTTTAAAATTGGAAGAACTTAGTATGCCATTCTTGTTCTTCATGTTCAGGCCCAGCGGACATTTCCAATCTCATCTCCTTACTCTGGCCCTTATTCTATTCTCTGACCTATTATTCTAGTGATACTGAATACATTATGTTCTCACAATCCTCAAATCTTTTTCATGTTGTTCGCTCTGCCTTAAACATTCTTTTGTTGTCCAAATTGTTCAATGCACTGTTAAAATATTTCTGCATATACTTATAAATTGAATATTTGTATACTCTGTTTCATCTAGCAAGCACCACATGCTTTTGATTTGTTTCCATTTAGCATATCTTCTTGAAAAATATATTATGAATAAAATAATAAAATATTCTATTGCATATGAAGAGTTCATAACTCCTAATAGACAAAACAGAACTACCTCTTCAAAATTTGATTTACTGAGAATGAGATTTAAAGGTTCTCCAGGGTGTTAGTGAGAAGTGTGACCCTTGAACAACAAAGGTTTGAGCTGTAAGGGCTTATTTGCATGCAGATTTTCTCTTAAAACAGACAGTGTAAACTTAGGAAGTCGATAAATGCAGTACTGCACTATAAATCTATTTTCTCTTCATTATGATTTTCTCAATAACATTTTCTTTTCTCCAACTTTACTATAAAAGTACAGTATATAATATATATCGCATACAAAATATGAGTTAATTGACTATATTTTTGGTAAAGGCTTCCAGTCAACAGTAGGCTACTCCTACATTGTTCTAAGGTTAACTGTATTTATTTTAAACAGTAAATGAATTAATTTCATTCATTTGTTATTAAAATGTTTGCTAACCTTACCTTGCTGTTTTTCTTAATAGCATTTTCTTCCTCTTGCAAACCTGGAATGTTCACCAAATGTTGAAACTTTCCTTTGCAACGCTTTTGTACCAACATGCATAGAGCAAATTCACGTGGTTCCACCTTGTCGTAAATTTTGTGAAAAAGTATATTCTGATTGCAAAAAGTTAATTGACACGTTTGGGATCCAATGGCCTGAAGAACTTGAATGTGACAGGTAAATTATGTTTTCTACTGAAAGCTGACTGATTTTTTTTAATATTAGTGTTATTTTTCCAAAATGTAGGTGGCAGGCTTTCATTATATAATTCATCAAATGTTTATTGCACACTTAACACATGCCAGGCACTGTGGTGATACGTGTGGCAGACACAGTGGTGAGCAAAATCAAACTTGGTTCTTGTTCTCAGGGATTTACAGTGGGGTGGGAGAAACAGATACCAATCAAATAATTTTAAAAACAGATACCAAACAAATAATTTTAACATAAAACATGCTAGATACAAAGGAACGTATCCAGTGCCTTTTACCTGACCTGGGGTGAAATGAATCTTACTATCAGTTCACCAGCCCTTTTACACATTCGTCTTGGTTAAAGTTGAGGGTGTTTATACTCAGCGTCCTAGGAAATCACCTACAACATGCACAAGAATATTATTCCTAATTTTTTTAAATGGAAAAAAGTGTAAAAGTCCTTTGTAGAAAATGATTAGTAAATTGTGATGTCCTGCACACTAGAATACTACCATTTAGTTGATAAAATGAATGCAGTTGCCCCACATCTACTAACATGGATACATCTAAAAAATAGTGTTAAGAAAAAGAAGTTACAGTATAATATATACAACACTATCATTTATGTAAAATTCAAAACTGTGAAACAGTACTGTATAATATTATGGTTAGAAAATGACACAGTAATAATACTGTTACATTCATGAGGAGAATAAAAACTAAACTTGCAGTACTGAATATTTCTGGGGAGAGAGAAAAGGGAGGAGCACCAGAAAGAGCTCCCAACTGTATCTGAAAGGTTGTTTCATTTTACTTAAGAAGACAGAAAGCAAAACCGGTATGTTAAGTTTTGAAACAGGCATCAGTTACATGAATGTTCTTTATATGGGCATACATGTGTTTTATTCTTATTTAAAACATTAAAAACCCCACTCATTTTTAAAATTTATGGGTCCCTCAAAGTAACACTGATATGTAGAAACTCACCTCAGTGGTAAGGTTCTGTACAAAACAGAAATATCCTTGTGTAACCTTCAGGTCTGCCCATAAACAAGGAGGCAAAGACGCAACCAGAAAGAAAAGGGGATGTGAGTTGAGCTGGGCCTGAGCTGCCTCTTCTTGATCTTACTGCCCTGCTTTAAGAGCGTAGTTATCTCTTGAGCTCCTCTACCTTATCAGTGCAGGAACGGATCTCATTACAGCCATTTAGTTGTCATCACCTTACTCACATGGTTGATCTAATTTGTGTGTAAGCATTAAAAATTGAAAATTAATTTCCCTAAGACTGTAAACAAACAAGTCAGCACTTTTTGTCTGGAATCAAGAGAAATTCCTTAATATTCAATCCTGAAGGTAGAAATTATTAAGAATTAATTGTTTTCTGAGTAAGAGAATTTTTATGTTCATCAACAACCACAGCATTTTTAATCAACTTCAGAGCTCTCTGCCCCACTCTACCCTGTAATGTATTTAGGTTTGTATGTCTTCCCGTCAATTATGAATGCACAAGGAAATACTTTATCATTGGAAGGCATAACATTTAAGTAATGAATCAATAACAATGTTGACTTTATACATTTAATTTTTTTAATCTTTACAGATTACAATACTGTGATGAAACTGTTCCTGTAACTTTTGATCCACACACAGAGTTTCTTGGTCCTCAGAAGAAAACAGAACAAGTCCAAAGAGACATTGGATTTTGGTGTCCAAGGCATCTGAAGACTTCTGGGGGACAAGGCTATAAGTTTCTGGGGATTGACCAGTGTGCACCACCATGTCCCAATATGTATTTTAAAAGTGATGAACTGGAGTTTGCCAAAAGTTTTATTGGAATAGTTTCAATATTTTGTCTTTGTGCAACTCTGTTCACATTCCTTACTTTTTTAATTGATGTTAAAAGATTCAGATACCCGGAGAGACCAATTATCTATTACTCAGTCTGTTACAGCATTGTGTCTCTGATGTACTTTATTGGATTCATACTGGGCAATAGCACAGCCTGCAACAAGGCAGATGAGAAGCTAGAACTTGGTGACACAGTTGTTCTAGGCTCTCAAAATAAGGCTTGCACCGTTTTGTTTATGTTTTTGTATTTTTTCACCATGGCTGGCACTGTGTGGTGGGTGATTCTTACCATTACTTGGTTTTTAGCTGCAGGAAGAAAATGGAGTTGTGAAGCCATTGAACAGAAAGCGGTGTGGTTTCATGCTGTCGCCTGGGGAATACCAGGTTTTCTGACTGTTATGCTTCTTGCTATGAACAAAGTTGAAGGTGATAACATTAGTGGAGTTTGCTTTGTTGGCCTCTATGACCTGGATGCTTCTCGCTACTTTGTACTCTTGCCACTGTGCCTTTGTGTGTTTGTTGGGCTGTCTCTTCTTTTAGCTGGCATTATTTCCTTAAATCATGTTCGACAAGTTATACAACATGATGGCCGGAACCAAGAGAAACTGAAGAAATTTATGATTCGAATTGGAGTTTTCAGTGGCCTGTATCTTGTGCCATTAGTGACACTTCTTGGATGTTACGTCTATGAGCAAGTGAACAGGATTACCTGGGAGATAACCTGGGTCTCTGACCATTGTCGGCAGTATCATATCCCATGTCCTTATCAGGTAACAGCTGTCATTTGTGTAATCTTATTGCTTAACTTTAACATAGAAAATGTATGCTGAAATGAACTCTTGTTGGTTTAAACATCAAGTTAGATTTCAGGTGAGAAAATCCAATGAACATAGGAAATTATTCCTGTGCATGAATTAAAACTGGGCTAAGTGTCTCAAGAGTTCTTAAGTTTTAGTTTTAGTTACAAGAGAAAAGAAGACTCCTTTCACTATTCTTTCAAAAAGTAATTTGGGTTGTAAAGTCAGATTAATGGTGATGAAGAGCAGAGTGAAAATAGCAGGTCAAAAGTGCTGCTACTTTAGGAGTTAATTCACTTAGTAGGTAAAACATTCGATTATGTTTAAATTGATTATACTTACAATTTTTTGCATAGTATGTGCTTATGAAAACAACTTGCTTTTTCCTAAACTTTCCTATAAATCATTTAATATAAAAGTGTAATTAAAACAAATAATGTTTCTATTGTTTATAATTGATATAAGGTGGGTTTAAGGTTTAAAAAACAGGAAATATCTGAAAAAATTCCTTAAAATTTCTTAATGGAAATTTTGTTTTGTTTTTAATAAATTTTATATATTATGACTATATATGGCATTAATTATGTTGAGTACGAGAGCTGTAATCACAGCTTATGAAATCAAGGAATGTGTGGGCTAAGTTACTTTATATCATGTATCTTCTAGAAAGTGACTGCACTATTAATATAGTAGGACCTGGTTTATGTCCTTACATGTGGGGACAACAGTTTCACTTGCCTGTAGTCTTTTACCCATAGTTCTTCGTTTAGGACTTAGGAAAGAATATATCACACTTAAAGCACTGTTTATTATATTATGTCAAATGATTTTTATTTAATTTTTTTATTTTATCTTATGCATGTGTTACTTATTTTTACTGTTGGGGTGTAACATTGATTTGCAGCACTGTATTTGATTCAGGGGAACAGGCTCATACCTCTTCAGATGTACATCACCATGCTGCACTCACAGCACCATAGCACCCTTTACCCTTTGTCCATTATCCCCCACTTCTCCTTAGTAACCTTAATTCTATGGTCATATTTCTAAACATTTTATAATAAAACAGATTGAAGACTTAACACTTTTTCTTTTATGTTAACTCTGTAGGGTTTTCTTTCCACTTTTATTATGTTACTAAAATTGTATTATTCACTGTTTTTTTTTTTTTTTTTTTTTTTGTGTGTGTGTGTAGGCAAAAACAAAAACTCGACCAGATTTGGCTTTATTTATGATAAAATACCTGATGACGTTAATTGTTGGCATCTCTGCTGTCTTCTGGGTTGGAAGCAAAAAGACATGCACAGAATGGGCTGGATTTTTTAAACGAAATCGCAAGAGAGAGTAAGAATCTATTGAATTACCTGACATTATTTAAAATAAATGGGTCAAATACCAAATATTCAAATCATCATTGCACTGGCATTTCACTATGTCAGCTGTTGTTTCAAGTTTACAAATCTTTGTCATGAGAGATATACTTTATTTTGGCATTTGTTATATGAATCTTTGACATATACTATTACACTGAAATGAATGACTTGTAAAATGTATGTTTCCATGACTTATAATATATCCAATATCATTTCTGCTCTCATTGGATTATTTTGGGTGCTGCATTTTAGAATCTTATCCTTTTCTATCAAGGATAAATGATTAAATGTGATCAAATATAGGTAAGAAAATCTATAAAGTATGGTTCAAATGTGATGTTATGAGCATTCTTTACTACTTAAAATGTTTTTATACGCAGTATTGACTTAACATTTTACTTACTTGCAAAAATTCAAACCTATGGAATATTCTCTAGCAATATACTAAATTTACATGTATGAGTAGATAGTTTATTTTGTCTATTTATGTACATTTCACACAATACACTACCAACAAAACTACAGAGTTTTTAAAACTGTTCCCCACTAACTTGACTAATAAAGAATATTTTTTTTGTGGTATAAATTTTAAAACTATAGACTTTTTCACAAATAAATTTTTGGAGTCTGAAGAATCACGTTGAATTGGGCTTCAGTTTTTGTACTATTATGTCTGTCTCATACTTAAATACCCATAATAACTTCAGTATAATTTGCTAACTTTAAGATCAGAAAACAAATTTAAACAAAGACCATTTGTTATGTTCTGCCTCTTTTCTGATTTATTTTTATATGTGATATCTTTACATATGCTACATATACAGGTAGACCCCTACTTTGTACTGGTTTAAGTTTCCTTGCCCTCTTTCTGTAATTTTGCCAATTTAACTTCTTACCAGTTTACTAATTATGCTGAGAAAAGCAACTAACAGTGTTAGTTGCACAAAAGATTTCACTTAAATACTTGCATCTCATGGTATTTATAATCTCAGATTTTATAAATAAGAGAAATTATATGGAATTTCAAACTTTAATGAATAAAGATATCCTCTGCTTTATGACTTCTGTACTACTGAGTATTTATCAAGTAAATCCTCTCCTTGAATTTTCTTACAGTCCAATCAGTGAAAGTCGAAGAGTACTACAAGAATCATGTGAGTTTTTCTTAAAGCACAATTCTAAAGTGAAACACAAAAAGAAGCACTACAAACCAAGTTCACATAAGTTGAAGGTCATTTCCAAATCCATGGGAACCAGCACAGGAGCTACAGCAAATCATGGCACTTCTGCAGTAGCAGTCACTAACCATGATTACTTAGGACAAGAAACTTTGACAGAAATCCAAACCTCACCAGAAACATCAGTGAGGGAAGTGAAAGCAGATGGAGCAAGCACCCCCAAATTAAGAGAACAGAACTGTGGGGAACCAGCCTCCCCAGCAGCATCCAGCTCCAGACTCTGTGGAGAACAGCCTGACAAGAAAAGTCAGACCGGCACTGTGAACGATAAGAGCAGTGTATCTGAAAGTGTGCGGAGTGAAGGAAGGTAAGCTTTGATTTTTCTCTCTTAAGTCATGACTGTTTTGGAATACCATGTTATGCATATTTTTTTAAAACATGACACATCTGCAGAGTAAGCAAGGGAGTTTGGTTTTAACAGATTTGTGTGCAGCCTATAATACTATTTCATAGTTTAATTCTTAGTTTTCAGAAGAACTTTCATGTATGTTGTTCACATAGAAAACTAATGTTCATTTCTATGGTAAATGTTAAGAGTTGCTCATATGTACATGTTTAGGATTCACTTTGAAGGACACTTGATTAAGTTTTAATGAGTAACTTGTTAGGGTACTAAAAGGTATTTTTCAGTTAATATGAAGATGATTACAAAATGTTTTTACCTTCTAAATGCAAAAGGATATTGACATTAGTTAGCTGGAATGTCTTCCTTGTGGTCCCAGCCTAGGCCACATGCACCTATAACTTTCCACATCCAGGGTGGGTTAGTTACACACTTTGTGCTCCACTAGACTTGTAAACGCCTCAAAGACAGAGCTGAGGTCCTACTCATCTTTGTGTTCCCAGCCTCTTACAAGTTATCTGGCCCGTAGTGGGAATCAAGAAAATACTAACTTGAGGGGCAAGAACCCTGTTTTGTTATTTATATTCTCCGTGGGACACCACGGAGAGGAGGTAATTGATGAAGTTTCTCAAGCTAGCAAAAATTGTATTCAAAATTAAATTCTTTGTATTTTGAACTATTAGAGTTTACAGAAAGATATTTAATTAACTGTCTTCTAATAAAGGTGGGCATGGTCAGGAGTAAGACTCATGAAAAGTGGACGGCAAGTGTCAGGGGTTCTGGCATCACATTTGTGTTGGTGTGTATGTGTGTCATCTCTCGCTCTTTTACCTAGGGTAACTCCAAAGAGTGATCTTACTGAAAATGGCCCTGTGCAGAGCAAGAACTTGCAGGTCCCAAGTTCTTCAGAGCCAAGTAGCCTCAAAGGCTCCACATCACTGCTCATTCATTCAGCTTCCGAAGTTAAAAAAGAGCAGGGCACTGGCAGTCACTCAGATACTTGAACAACCGATTATCCCTGGAAGCAGCTTGTGTTACACTGGAGGTGACCACTACACTGTCCTCAAAGAATCACTGTTACAGTCTTCTTTTGCACTTAAGTCTACATGGGCTACTGTTACACTGGAAACAACAGATTCTGGGAATAATAGGATTCGTTTCACACAAAAGCTGGTGACAACGATATACCTGAAAAACAGAAATGTGCAGGTTAATAATATTTTTTTAATTGTGTGGGAGGAGGGAGTTAGAGGAATCTTCCTTTTCTTCTATGAAGATTCTACTCTAGTAAAAGATTTAAAAGATATACTATGATATTTCACGTTTATAGTATAAAGTAAAAAATTTTCTTTGCTGAGATATTTAAAACTTAACCTTGTGTCTTTTTTTATGTATTTGAAAATAAATTTATGTGTATTTGAGTTTTTTTAAGGAATCCTGGAAAATCTGTTCAAATATTTTTATTGCATTGTTCTGTATTTAGCATTACTTTGGTAGCTTTTACACTGAATTTCTAAGAAAAGTGAAAAATAGTATTCTTGTATAGTATAAAAAAAAAGTTGACAAGCCAAAAATGTTGTAGTGGGAATTAATCTTTAAAAATCCATTAGCTTTACCTTATCATCTTAAATGTGTGAATTTTATAAACTCTCATTATTTTAGGAATTTCACAGGTCCATTATGCAACTGAAATAAGGTGCTTACTGAAAATGTCCACTGTTGATTTTATTATGCTGCTCACTGACCTTTCTGCATTTAAAAAAAAAAAAAAATGACCTGGGGGATTAGTAGATGAAATGTTACTCTTTTATAAATTAAGTCAAGTGCAATTGATTCCTTTTTTTAAGAAAAATGTTTCATGACCATGCAAGATTATATTAATATGGCTACTTATAGTTGCTTGTACTTTTGTTTTTGAACAATTAGAATTGTACAAACACTTTGTATTTATGCAGAATTTTTCTCAGACATGTAGAATTCATTTCTGTAGCTAAGTTAGGATTTTAGTGAACATTCAAAAGTGTATTAGCAATATTAGTGCCAGTCAGTGGGGAAAAAAAATGTAGTTCTGAAAAAATGAAAGAAAATGTACTTTGTATAACATCCTTTAAAATATTAAAGTATTTTCTTAATTTCATTTCCAATTAAGTATTACTCCTTGGACAAGATTTCCTGAAACTTTTTGTTTTTGTTTTTCTCTGTTTAGCATTCTGTTAAATTATCATGTACTGTATGGAAAATGTTGTAAATATTAACTTTTCCACATTTTTGATCTTTATATACAAAAACTTTGTTTTATGTGGTATTTTCGGTAATAAACTTTTCTCAATATACTAGATTGGGGAGTATTATGTGGTTATGTATAGTGGGCCTGGCCAAGGAAGTGGTATAATTAAAAGTGGCTCCATGACTGAGTAGCTATAAACTCTTTTTAACTGGAGAGGAAGGCGGTCAGGACTCTGTCAACATCTCTTCTTAAAGTATAAGTTTTCAGACATATTTATCATAACTCTTTAAAGCCAGTGAGAGATCTGAGGAAATGGGGTGAAGCAAAGTGAACCTAGGCCTCTGCTTTCACTTTATCAATGAGACATAAAACAGGATCATTCTCAAAACATGTTTTGTAAAATACTAAGTTAGTGAGGAGTTACCTGACTAAGTTCTGGGAGGAGAGAGAAATTCACACTGCCAAGCCCACATTTGGAATTGCTTTTGTCCAGAGAGCATTGGATGACGGGGAGAGGGTGACTGAGAGGTTGAACAGTGCAATTTGCAGCCTCCAGGCCATGGAGGACGAGGGAAAGGGAGTCTAGCACACCACGCTACACTTAGAATTGTGACCTTACTAACATTTACTCTATTTTGCAATAGATAACTATTAAAGACCCCTAGCTGCTCTAATGTTTTTTTAGTTGATTGTCCCTGGATTTTCTATGTGGATTATCTTTTCAACTCAAATAATGGTAACTGTGGTTTTCATGTATTAGCTAAAACTCACAACCAGTAATCATTAATGTGCTAGTAGCAAGCGTCATCATCTTAATTCTTCTGTTAAGTGAAAGTGCCTATATAACTTCATCCTGAAGAACACTGTTGGTATTTGATATAAGGTAGGTACTTTTTAATGAGTTAATATGGAGTCATTTTTCATTTTATAATTAAAAAAATGATGGTATTGAATTTATCAAATGCCTTTTTGCTTGTCATTATTAGTCAAGGTAAGCTAACTGCTGTAACAGACAACCGTCAGAATCTTAGCAGCTTAAGAAACTTATCCGCATGACAGGAACAAATGTTCTTGAGGTCACTGTCCAAGTGATTCCTCAAGGATTCACCACTTCCACCTTGTGACTCTGCCTTCTGTTAGGGATTTAGGTCTTCCCATGATTCTTTGCACCCGGCCAGCAGGGGGAGCAAGAGAGAGAACATGTTTGCACAGGAAAATGTTATGAGGCGGAGGTGAACGCGGCATGAATCATTTCCAGCTACATTCCATGGGCCAGATCTTAAACACAGATTCACACCTATCTGCAAGGGAGGCTGAAAATGTAATCTAAGTGTGTGCCTGGCAGGGAGAAGAAACAAACTCAGTGAGCAATTGGCCAGCAGCGCTTCAACCTACAAATATGATATAGTCTCTTAGGGCTTTCAGATCTCAGATTCACTCACTTTGATCAGCTTATTAACTTGAAGTTGATGAATATAGAAGCAGATGGTGGTGATGATTACCCACTGTTGGGGGCCCTTGACGTGGTAGTGGTGGTGAGTGTGTGTATGTGTTAAGAAGACTGGTAGATGGAAAGAATTTGCCATTGTGAATGTTGTGTTGAATTCTGCTAGATGTTGTGTTGAATTCTGCTACGGCAGCTTACTATGCTTTCTTTGTGTCCACCAATATCACATCCTGTCGGGCGGGACCTCTGGCTTCCTCTGTCACTCACTGCTGGGATCAATCAAGGCAGCAGGTTCAGGCTTTATTTTGGGTGTGGGAGCACAGTCTGGGGGAAGAAAAGAAGGAAGAAGTGGGCAAAGAGGTTCTTAAGAAACATGTAGTAGTTGCCAACCAAAGCGAAAGTGGTTTGGAGGACAGAGAGAAGCCCCAGCAGGAGGAAACAAAGGAAGTTTGAACTGGATGAATCACGGGCTTTTCCCAATCTCAGAGGTGTGGGCGACCCTCCCTCACTTGCAGGTGGCTCTTGTCAATGAAGCAATGACTGCATCAAGTGACTGGATTTACTGTGTCACCACTAGCTACACATGTACTTTGAAGACTTTTTTTTTTAAGAAATTAACTTAATTGTACCACACAATATATTAATAGGTCCTCCTTTTAACAATTTAAACACATCAGTCTAAAGTCTGCTTTGATGATCACCTCCAATGTTTAACCCCTCCACAGAGATAACTCAAGTCGTATTTGCCAGAACCTTCTCCGATGCATTTACACACATATGTGATTATAGAAAACATACAGCATTAATCTGTGAGGTAGGGATTGTTTACATATATGGCATCATTTTGCCTGTAGACAAATGTACAGTAAATATTCACTGAATGGCATCTGTAGGTACTTGGAAATTGCACCATTACATAAACACACACACACACACACACACATACACACAAAACCAGGTCTTTAACTTCAATTCAGTGTTGATCAGGATTGGATTTTTTTTCTGGTTTACTTAAAACATTATTTGAGGCCCTGATGTGTATGTAACAATAGAAAACATACAATACTGTTGTGTGGGGTAGGGATTGTTTACATACATGGTATTGTTCTTAAGTGTAATTTGTGACTTCCATTTTCCTGCAACAATGCCCAGGAAGGCTTCCCTGTGAACTTATAAATTTCATTCTTAACTGCTAATTCTTTAGATGTTCTTAACTCTCACACTTGTGGATTCAGTGGCCTCTATAACTCTGCACACTTGGGAAGACAGAGCAGGTTTTTATATTGTTTTTTTTTTAATTTTTTTTTTATATAGAGGCATGTTATTTATTTATTTATTTATTTATTTGTTTGTTTGTTTTGTTTATACATGCACTGGGTACAGTCAGAAGCCGGGAGGGTGAGAGAATTCACCAGAGCCAGAGCGGGGAGCAGAGCAGGCAGAAGGACCGAAGTACACTGCTGAGGGGAGCAGCGGGCGGCAGGAGACGTCTGCATGCTGTGTGGGACCCTCCTCTGGTGGCCGGGGAGCAGCCGGGGATTGAACCGGCGTCGCAGAGGCCGCAGGCAGCTTCGCAACCCAGCGCTCAACCGCTGCGCCACCGGGGAGGCCCTTATATTGTTTTTGATCTCAGGACGTCCAGGGCAACCAGACTGCCCTGCCTGCAAGGTCCTCTCTGAGGCATCCTCCTTCAGGTTCTACACCAGGAGCGATAATTTTGGGCTTTCCAGTTGCAACCTGGGGTCACTGAAGAAGTGATCCAAGAAGCTCTTGAATCCCGTTCCCTCTGCCTGAGGTTGGGGGAGAGAGGTGCTTTACCTACAAAGAAAATGAGAGCTAGCTCACACCTCAGGTCCACAATGCTGATTAAGCCAAAGTCAATCCAATTCTGACTGGTGCGATAACATGCAAGTTCAATGAAGTGCTAGACCAGCAGTGACTGGCTGAGTTTCAATCCTGGGCTGTCTGCTTCAGTTGCCGATGGGAGGAGAACACGGTGGACTGCTTGGCGGAGCTGGACCTACCTGAACTCGTGCCCTCAATCCAGGGGACTGTGTTTTGGATTTATCCAGACCGGAATGGCTCCATTTTGTTTTCTTTCTTCCTTCCATTTCCACCTCTTTGCACCTCTCTGTGACTGCAGGGCGGTCCTGGAGAACCCTGTGAGTTTGACTCCTGGAGTCCGAGGACCAGCGACAAAGAGGCAATGATGACTGTCGAGGAAACACAGTTCTCCTGTTTTGTTTTTACTGTACTTTTTTTTTAATTTTTAAATTTAATATGCCTTTACATCATTTTTCATCTTGCACAATGTATGCATTTTCATCTTGGTTATAGTCCCCATACAATTCCCACCACCCTTGTTTTGATCCTACTCCTTCGCCCCCCACCCAGTATGTCTCTGATTTATAGTTGTTTGTTGATTTTGATTTTTATTTTATTATAATTAGTCTTTTTCCTGGTCCCTTATTTAGGTTTTCTAAATTCCACAACCCAAATGCCCCAAAATAGATGACTGGATCAAGAAGATGTGGTCCATATACACCATGGACTATTACTAAGCTATCAAAAAAGATAAACTCATGCCATTTGCAGCAACATGGATGGAGCTGGAAGGGATCATGCTCAGTGAAATAAGCCAGAAGAAAAAAAAAGAAAAATACCGGATGGTCTCACTCACAGCAGGAATTTACTGTACTTTTTACTTGCCCAGTCTGCCAACAAGGGCAGCTCAAGAAACACAGCGAGCCATTCTTTTTCACTTGGAGCCTGCCAGCCTGGGTTTTGCCAGTGGTCAAAGTTGTTTACAGGTTCTGAAGGTTTCTGTTCTACGAAAGTCTTATGGGGCCATTTGGAAGGACTGAGCCCACTCTGAGAGCTCCCACTTTGCTAAGGAAAATTTCAGATAAAGTCAACAGACTATATATTCAGATTTATGTGTTTCCTAGCAGTGAGGCAAATTAGGTCCTAAAACAGATTCCTAAGGAAATAAACCCACATAAGAGCCAGTTTTACTTTAGTTAGCACCCTGGAAAATAAGATGAAGAAGATTTTAAGATATTTTCTCTCTGGTTTAAGAAAAACTTTTAAATCTCTATTGATTTTGTGCGTCTCCTGGCATATTTTAAATGTAATAGATATTTATAAACATAGGTATTAAACAGAGTTTAATAGGCTCTTTTTACTTGAGTATGTTAAAATCCAGTATCAGTGAAATGATAAGACATATCTGAAGTATGAGGATGAACTAATGTGTGAGTTTGGAGAATGTGAAAAACTCTCTCTAGGGTGTTTCTTTCAAAACTTAAGTAGGTTTGCCCTCTCTTTGCCTTCTTTTGTGCTGGAAAAATTAGAAAATCCATTTTTAGAACTTTTTCCTGGTGTTGCCTTCTAGGGATGGAAAATAGAAACCTTAGACATAACTGCTAAAGTTTATTCATTTTAGCAATTATTTTCTCCTTTGTTTTCATTTCCAATTAGTATTTACAACTTCTATTCCTTCCTTTTCTCCATCTTATTTGCTTCAAAGTGCTCCCTTCTGTTTCCCCACCTCTGGTAAGGCTTACGACAAACTTAGCTAAGCCCATTTGCTGCTACTGTTTAGCTTTGCTCCCATTGTCTTTGGATAATTTTGAATAAGCTTTTAATTTTTTCTTCTC